ACAAAGAGCCATCAATCATCTTCCAATCACTGACGATGCGATTTCTTGGCTCTTTGCTATGGGCCCAGGGCTTTGCAAAGGGAAAGGAAAAGCAAAAAGTCAGCCAAGCCCACCACCCCCTTCTCTCTCTCTCCCCTTGGTTGCGCTAGACCATACGAACTGGGTGACCGAAACGGAATCGGTGGTCTGTGGGAAGCAACCGCCACCCGGGGTATGGAGAAAAAAAGCCATTCCACGAAGCCACTCGTTGAGATCTGGTCGGGCGACTGGGCTCGGAGCTCGAATGTTCCTGGCGGGCGGTGGGACTGGCTTGCGCGGCGTGATGGGCAATCAAAAAGGTTTGGAAGTGGGTGGGCAATGAGGAACTGCGCATCTCCATCCTTTGGGCCTCTAAATTTCGAGCTATTGTAAGGCGTTGATAGTTCGAATTCGCTGTTGTAGTCATGGCGCAAACGGTTCTGACGTTTGCTCCGAGGCTGAAATGGTGTGTGGTGTGTGGTGTTGGAGAGGCTGATGTTCGTTTACTTCCCCCGCCGCCACCGCATGCAAGATTAGATGAGAAAATGCAACGACATCAGGCGCTTGCTTGCTTCCTTGCACGAGCAAATGACACGTTCCTCGTCACGTCTAGTTGTGTCGCTCGACCGAGCACGTTTGCGATCATAATGCTTCCATACAGATGACATGAATTAATAAATAGTGTCTCGACTCTGACAAAGCCAACTCCGCATTATATATAGAATAGCATTGCCAAACACGTAATCAACAAGAGTCGGCCGAAATGGAGCAGCATTATTACTTGCTCGCGGCCCCCCATTATCCATTATCGCACATGACCCAGCATCACACACCCCCAATAACACAACGTCGTGCACCCCAAAAAAGAGAATGATGTCTTTGATGTTTTCCCACGAGGGCCAGTAGTAGTCAGTACCGAAAGGGAAACATGACACGTGGCCCTCATTGTTGCACCTGGCCACTCGCACGCCCTATATCAGGTGGGAGATGGCCCAAAAAAGAAAGAGAAAAAAAAACACGGTGGGCAAGACATGGGCAAATCACACTTGTCCATGTCTATCCGTAATGCTTTCCCCGGATTGCCCTGCAGGCTTATCGATTTCCGCTGCAGTGAACATCTCCCGAAAGGTTGCAGAAGTTCGGGGAGGGGGCAGAGCAGTGGTCGCCTGTGCTGGCAATGCGGAACGGAAAAGCAATTTAAAAGCTACTACCAAGCAAGGATCGACGACTTGTCATGCTGCGTTTGGACATTGTGGGCTGAGAATGACAAAAAGAGGCAATCTTGCCCGTCTTATCCGTTCCAAGTACGGATATAGGAAAGTAGATGGGCTCGTCTTGGAACAAGTTCATGCAAGCAAGAACGCCAAATCATGCAAGAAAAAAAATATGCTTTGCTTTTCAGGTCTCAGAGATGCAGAAAGATTGCTTTTTTTCAGCATGACACGCTTGCTTCTTATCCCCGTCTGTGATTTGCTCAGTATGAGTAACGTTAATTGATTACGCGCCGGTGGCTACACTACTGCTAACTACGCCGATCGGAGGCGTGTTTTTTTTCTTTTGTGTTTTTGTTTTTTTTGCTTTGCCCTTTCTTCGCCGGCGTCCGTCCCATCTATTTAGCATCTCGGGGAGCCTTGATCATGTTCTAGACAAACAAGGCAAAAGAAAAAAAAAAGAAAAGAAAAGAACTCCCGCTAATCAAGGCTGGCAACTAGCACACGAGCCGAAAGACAAGAGTGCGCAAGATGATGGTTGCGATTTGAACGAGACGGCACTTTCGCTCTCCTTGAAAACCAAGGCTGCCCTTTGTTTGTTGCTAGTTGTCTAGCACACTCCCCCGCTAGCAGTTGGAGGAGGGGCACACACAGCTGGAGGAGGGGGTGTGAGCCTAATACATTTTCTACTCGCGTGGGCATCTACGAATCAGTTGATGCATAGATTGTCCATGTATTTGCTTTTTCATCTTCTTCATCTTGCTATTTTCATCCGAAACAATACGGGATGCAGACTTTTCTAGATGTAAATTAGTCACTATAGCTCGAGTTGGTCGCCTTCAACGACTCCGCGTGCGTGGTGCCCGGTGAGTCGAATACCGCGTGAACAGCCAGCACAAGGGCAGCTGCATCGTCATATATGTAACGCTACCTTCTTCTTCTTATTTCCTGCCCACCTGGTTTAAAAAAAACAGAGAAAGGAAAATTCTGGCGACGTTTTGTGCGCTGGTTCAATAAACGGTGAGTGCTCCTCGGAATCAAAAGCCCTCGGCAGCGCCCAGGGCCGCGGAGGCGAACGGGAGTACGGAACAGGGGCAAAGCGGGCAGAATAAGAAGACGAAGAAGAAGAAGTGGAATCATTGCCTGATTCTTTTCTTGGTCATCTCGATGGACGGCCGCCGCTTGAACTTTTTTTTTTTTTTTTTTTTTGCGGTACTCTGTAATATACGGGCCACGGTTGCGGAATTTGGAATCCATGGCAAAGCGGACTTGAGTTGTACTATTCAAACAGACCGACAAGAAATGAATGTATTGGGCATTCATTCTGAGTCATCACAGCATGAAGAAACTGGTGCATGCCGCGCCTCTTTTCAAGTCATTCGCTGGGGCTGAACAGCTCATACATGACTTTCTGAGACTGGCATAATTGAAACGCATTAATGGGGGTTCCAAGACCAGAATAGAAAAAAGATAAAAAAAAACCACACCAAGTGGTGCATGAAGGCGGGCTATAATACTGCATTCTTTAAGCTCTTTTTCCGTCACATTTAGAATGCTTACAGGGACCATTTCTGCTTTATTCTGCGTTGTTCGTTGATCAATCCCAGTGAAACAACGCATTAATACCGAGAATATATGTACGTGTCTTGGCTTTGGTCATGTGGTGCACGCTGCATAGGCATCAAGGCTCTTGCTTGGAATCTTTGCCTGTCATATTCAAGCCTTTGCCGCTATTTCTGGTGTCTTCTTTCCTCCATCATCTCCCATCAAGACAAATTCTGCAAGGTGTTTTGCTGCATGGAAGGGGGGTGGGCGTGTGTGTGTGTGTGTGTGTGATGCAGTGTTTCTGTGGGCGCGCCAACAGCACCTAATAAGCGTGCATCGCCACGTTGGGCGACTAACCACTAGTACCAAGGAACACGCAACAGGGCATCGCATCTATACAAAACCAAGCTTTTCTTGGTTTCTTGGCTTCATCACACGCACACATACACACACACAACGAGGTGTAGCGGAAGCAGCCGTTGATTACAGATGGTGACATGAATCGAAACGCGATGCTAGGCTCAAAGAAACGCTGAATGGTGCGCTGATTTTTTTTTTTTCTCTATCTTCTCATTTCTTTTACCGCCAATCTTTGCTACTTTTCTTATTGTTATTTTTCTGCCAAGTTCTCGATTTCGATAATCAAAGTCCAGGAATCGGGGATCGGCAGCGTAACTTCGAGGTTGCTGCTACCCTTGCAACGCTACTTCTTGTCATTCATGCACAAGGCGAGTATAAATGTTTTGCCAACAAAACCACCACCGGGTACCGTACCAATTTTTTAATTTTTTTTTTTTGGAGTTGGTTGTTGGTGCAAAAAAGAGCGTTCTTGGCAGCCAAGAGATGCGTAAAATAGGCCATTTGCTTTGCGCACGCCTAGAAAGAAATATATTTCTTGATCAGGTACCCTATCTATTTTAGGGGGCGAGAACCACACAACACCGGGGGGCTTTAAGCCTACATTACCCTACTCCATAGTTACAAGAAAAGGCATTCTAAATAGTCAACATGGTCATCTGCTTGACCGATTGTCCAACTTGAAGAGCAAGTTTGAATTGACCTGTCGCGTGTCATTCAAGCTCCTGGGACTTTTGTTTTCTTCCTTCAGCTGTAACGTATCAATCGAGCACCTGCTGAGCAAAACAGAGTTTACGCCCCCCCTGGCGAACAGCGCTGGCGCCATCCTATCGCGCGATATGCCCTATACACGCCCACCACCACCACCTATCCTAGTTTGTTTAAAGTTTCGCATCGCAATTCGCAACGCGCGCCTCCCCTCCCTCACCTACTCGGAGGAGGGGGGGGGTTCTTTTCTATTCAACCGTCGGGTCTCGGTCACTCGGTTGCTGTAGGTATTAACTAGCTGTATCAGCATCCAAAAGGAGTCCAGACTATCAGATAGATGCGATAACGGTTTATGTTTGCTTGGATCGCTTGCTTTCTTTGGTCCATCAATAGCCGAGGCAGAGGAAACTAGAAAAAAAACACCAAATACTTTGTATTGAGAGTCATGAATCAATATCAAATGCATACCAATTACGCGCCCGCCCCGTCCGTCCGTCTGTCCGTCCCGTCCGGCCCAGCAAAACAATCTCATAGCCTCGCTGCCAACAGGGGGGGAAACCAGCAACTGCCGACAGATTTTACCATGGCTTGATTAGAAGCCCGCACAGCCAGACACAGCCAGACACAGCCAAGCCGTCACACACAACCGACAAGCATCAACCCCGCCGCTCTGCCGCCGTCGCCTTTTAGCCCCCATCTTTCCATGCCAAGAGTAGCCCAGTAGCAGGCCTTGCTGCTTTACTGTATGCATCGGCCTCCCGCGTCTGGCATAATGACAGGCAAGATCCTGGGCATGCAGAGCCTCGAGGCCGCTCCAGTCTGCAGGTGGACTCGGCCATCACGCCATCATCTTACACGGGATGCCCCAAGAGAAGAGGCCGGATATCTCAAAATAACGAGTTTCAATTATATGGTAGTCTTCATATTTACCCGACAGAATTTCCGATTGCGCCGGCTTCATACCCAAAATAGAACAAAAAGCCCAATATACTCCGTACCTGGTGCCAGTAGATCTCAACTGGCGCCAGTGTCTGATAGAAATACAACCAATACCTTCCAGTGCAGTTTCGCTTTTTGTTCCCATCCAAATAATGCCCACAAGACAACAAGAGATTGATAAACCCCCCAGATACATACATGCTAACAACGAAATGTTAAAAATCAAAACATAATCCACTCAACGCCGACACCTGGACCTCCAAAGCATTTGGACCAGTTGAATGGGCCTCGAGCTCCACCCATCTTGGCCTGTCCATCATAAAGGCCCATCTCGCTGCCGTTGCGGAAATCGCCAGACCAAAGACGCTCTAGCACATCAAGTGCAGCGAGGTTGTTCATGTAGCCAGAGCGATTCATGATATCCTTGCACTTGGAGCGCACAATCGTTTGCTGCAGCTCGTTCACGCACTCGGAGCCCGCGATAAAGAGCGGCCAAAGCAGAAACTTTTCCGCAGAACTGCCGGCCTCGAGGCTCGTGGCGTAGTAGACTACTTGGCTAACCAGGTTCTGAAAGTTGGTGTGGCTCGATGGTAGACTCGGGCTTGCCAGTCGCTCCGTGTAGAGCATGGCTGCGTAGCGGAATGCTTCCGACAGCGATTCCAGGTCCCGCAGATGGCTGGGGTTCGGGCCGCCAGGGAGCTCCGAGGCCACGGCGCCGACGTCAAAGTGCCAGTGTTGCAGGGCTTGGCGTGCGTCCTTCCACTCTGCCCAGAAAAGTGCGCGACGATCATCAAACGCAGTCGAGGTTGACATGGCCGATGTGAGGAGCTCGTCATCATCGAGCAATGTGCCGAAGCCGTTGCCATCAAAGCGTTGACTTGAAGGAGTGGCGTAAAATTCGGCGCCTTGGGTCTGGCTTTGCACGCTGCTGATGCTATTTCTGTAGCCATGACCCATGGCATGGGTTGCCAGCGGGGAATCTCCCGCAGCCTGCATGGAGCCCGCCATGTTTTGAACTGGCCTGTGCTGGGAGAGCATGTTTAGTCTACCGAGCTTGCCTATCGTCTCGAATAGCTCGCGGTCACAGCCGACCATGTTGACGGCGCCAGCAGGCATGACGCCAGCGGCAAAGCCGTCATCAATAGACGTCAGTTGCGCCTCGCGATCATTAATCGTGGCCGAAATAGCGTCAAAGTAACTAAACAATGTCTCCATCCATGCGACATCGCCAGTGGACCCACCGAATTGTTGTGGACTCCGCATGGCCAAAATCTTCTTGACGCCCGCAAATTGCGTGTGAAACTTTGCAATTCCCGACTCTGCCATGCGGTAGTGGCAGAGAATCAAAATGGTGGCAAGGACAGAGTCGTGACGTGACTTGACCGGATCGCTCAATTGCTGGTTGAGTAGCTGCACAGCCAGGTTCCGGTGTTGAATCTCTTCGGCATGCGAGGGATCCTGAGGTGGGGCGTCTCCGGCATTTTCGGTAGCGCGCTTCTCGGCGATAAGCTTCTCATAGAGCTCGCGAGTATCCTGGCCGAGACTGAGCCTGCGCTTCATGCGGAGGTTGCAGGACGCTAGGGCACAGATGGCATGTTGAAGGCTTTGGCTGCCGCTCGCGAGCTGCAAGAGATGGTTCTTGAAAGGATTGTGAGGTGTGTCAATGACCACCATGGAGGGGGCCATAGTCATCTTGTAGTAGTCCATGAAAAATGACATCTTGGCAGTCACGTCCTGGCCGATGCGAGGCTGGGGTTGATCCCTGATGGAAGGCCAGTGATTAGGGCTGAAGTCGGACAGCGGTGAATGCAAATCCTCCTCCTTGACCCTGGTGTGCCAGCCCGGAGACATGGCGTTACAGTTGCCGTTGTTGACATCTGGGACACCTGGACGCGGTTAGAATGGGAAAGCAGGGCACAGCTCATTGCGATGCTCACTGAGACCGTCGCAGTCCGTTGCTGACTTGGAATGGCGCATAGACTCAAAGTGGTCGAGCTGCGACGAGAGGCTGGCGCTGCTGTCCGAGGGACCACCGTAGACGAGGCCACACGAGTCGGACACGCGGCTCGAGTCAATGAGCAAGGTGGGAGGTGGGCTGCGGGAGATGGGAGATGTCTGGTGATGAATAGGGAATCCATCGTAGCCAACGGTGGGGCTGTGTCCAAAGGGCGGCATATCATCGCGAGAGTATCCTTGGCTCATGGGTGAAAGGTAGTCGACCTCGCTGAGAGAGTCGACCGAGGATGAGAGACCGTCGGTGATGATGGGCATAGGCCACTTGGAGAACTTGGGAGTCGTTCGCTCATCGGGCGATTGCATAATAGGAGGGGAGTTGTAGTGAACGCTGCTCCAGCTGCCGTGAGGAATAGACTGGGTGTGCATATGGGTGTGTTCCGGGTGCGACATTGAGAGGTAATCGTATCCGGAGTTGGAATATGACGAGTGTGCGGCGGGAATGTCAATAGCACCACGGTGGCTGACATGGTGAACCTCGTCGTGCTCGTCCCAGTGAGTAGAGAGTGTCGTCATGGCCGAATTGGATCGGGCGCGGGCGACGGGGGCCTTTTTGGGCTCACGAGCCACGGGAGGAGCCTTGGCGATGGGTAGAGACAGACCACGAAGCTTGCCACGGCTGGCGACGCCAACACCCCAGGTTAGCTGGGTCTTGTAGCCGGAGCATTCGTTGCCGACTTCGAGGCATTGCGAGCAGTATGGCCGCCGGCGGTCGCACTTGACGTTGCGTTTAGAGCAAGCAAAGCAATCGTCTGCAGCGCCACCAGCTGGAGCACGACGTCTGCGCTTGCGAACAGCAGCAGGGTCTTTGACCGTGACGGTCTGGTGAGAAAGAGGAGCCGTCATTATGGAGTCAATACGCAGTACTTGTTTTACAACTTGAACTTTAGACAGGTAGTTGAAGGTCTTGTCGTTGCAGAGGGGCAGTCCTGCGCGTACGGCTTCGAGGAATCGGCGAAATCCTGAGCGGCAAGGTGTTGTCGTGGGAGCAGGAGGGCAGAACCAAGGTAGTGTAAAGCGAGTGAACAAGGCCAAGTGAGGAATTGGTATGCGTCTTGTCAGAGAATCGACAGCATAAGTCGGAGAGAATGCGAATTGTGAAATGTATGGTGGGGGAGGAAGTACAGGTGGGCAGGATGAGGACGGGAAGCCAGGCGATATGTATATACGATGAGGGAGCGAGTCGACTTGCGGTGCCGGCTCCGTCGTCTTCCAGTATTAGCGGCGAACGGCCGGGCAGACAGAGCTGGCGTCGTTGGAGCAGCGTGAGCGAAGGATACTGGCCCAGAGGAGTGCGGTCCTACCCCCCGTAGCGCTGGCCGGGGGGGTGTGATGTCGGAAGAGGCCCTAGTGATGGGACCCGGGGAGGGGTGAAGTCGTTGAGTGGATGGCACTGCGGATGGGTGGGAGGGGCGTCGGTGGAAAGCCACGAGATGCGATGGCTTCATGGCCGTGGTAGCGTGGTTACGTGGGTAAGAAGATAATGGAAGTGGATGCGCATGTGGGAAGATGAAGGTTGGTGAAGGAAAAGAGCGAGATGTATGGTGGGGAGAAGAGAGAGGGGGGTGTTGGTGTGTAGGAGGGGTGAGAGAGAGGAGGGGAAAGAATGGAAAGAATTAGAAGAGCGAAAAAAATACAAGGGCAATGTTGGGCTCAGCTGGCTCAGCGGATTTAGCAGGGGCAGAGGGGGTGAGCAGTTCAACTTGGGCTTCTTCCAGGGGGGGGGGGGGGTGCTAAAACACTGCTACAGTGGCCCTCGAGTGCGCTAACAAAGTTGGCCGTCAGAGGGCTTGAGAGAGTGGAGGGGAGGGGTGAGAGTGCCGACCACAAGGAGACAATGCCATATCTACCTTTTATGATTTAAGCTACTTGGCTACCGTTCCGTGAGTGATAAAAGCACCAACCAAATGCTAGTTATCAGGTACGGAGAAAATGCCAGTTGAAGCATGGGCTAAGCCGGGCTCCCTCACGGTCACCAACCTCAATACTCAGCAGTGATCGGCAGAGGGGCGGCCCAGTCAAACAAAACCTCTAAGCAAAAGGTCCCCAGTATCAGCATACGAATATGAGCATCTTTCCCCCCCCTTGTCCGCCTTCATTTATACAAGTAGATGAAAGCGGTACAGGGACCAGGTGCGCCCCCCAAGACGGGATGTTGGCGGAGCTTTTCGGCGAAGAAGAGGGGCAATCCTCTCTGTGAAATTGAAATTGGTGGGACGACTCTGAGGCGCTCTATTTGTTGTTGGTTCCGATAAAGGGATCCGTCATGATATGTTTGATTTCCGTTGTACCTCATCCATTTTTATTTTGAACCCGACGTTTTTGGAACAAATGATATGCGTATTCATTATTCCTTATATCTCCGCGCTCACCCAAGTCTGGCCCTCTCCAGACGCCCCAGCGCCACTGCCCACTGCTAGTCCCGCTACCCCAGCCCGCCTCCGCCACTGTAATCTAGCGGTCGCCCTAACAGCCTTTTCACTGTAAATTCACCCCAAGAGCGTCCGCTCTAGCAGTTCCCCTGTGTAAATTCGCCTTGCTGACTGCTGCCACTACACGCTAAACCACGCTGTATTCGTACCTAGGTAGCTTGGCCCGCTTCGTTAGCACGGCAGGCTTCCTTGCTTGCCTGACGATTTACCCTCTTCTTCTCTTTTTTGACTTGTTCGCCTAGAAGCTCCGTCCTCCTTCGCTTGCATCTCATATTCTTACTCTTCTCCGGAGTCGTGTGGTCATTCGCCGCTGCGGCGGGGTACATTTACTCTCCCAGTCTCTCTCTTTTGCCTGCCGTCGTAGTAATCTCGCCATCTGCTGCTCGCATACGGACGGAGTACTTCATCCCTTCTTACATTGCAACGCTGGCCTGGTGACCACATGCCTCTACCGCACCATCCCTATCAACCACCAAGGAAACCTTATCAGTGTGTCTGCTGGTTACCTCTCAGGCAAGGCACGCATTGCATCGTGTTCGTTTGTGCATCTATGCTCCATCCGAACTGCACCACATCCCGTGTGCTACGCGCCGAGTGGTAGCGTAGCTTGGTGGGGTTGCAGGCGAAGTCTTGTGGAAGCGAATAATACTTAGCCTCCAAACTGGCAGACTTTCAAAGGGCTGCGTTTCGACTCTCTCTTCCTTGCCCATCTCTTGCGACTTATGATCTGCGCAGGTGGGCTGGCCAAGCTTCCGGCGGTTACAGCACCACCAACGGCCAAACAAGTTGCAAGTTTCCCCTCGCCCAAGACGCGTCCAAGCAACCGAGCCGTCCCATGTGGAGGTCTTCTACTTGTATCAGAAAAGCAAGGCAATCTTTATTGCTTCTCCAGGATTATGCCATGTTCTGCATTGCGATTCGCGTGCATATTCAGCCACGACGGTCCTTGCCTTAGATTGCAGACCCCATCGCTTGTCCTGCTCGAGGGCATCTGTCAGCCCAACTGGCTGTAATTCGGAAAGCCCAACCTCAGGATCATGCTGCCATATTAACGCTTGCTCAATCGCCGAATAGGAGCGAGATCAAGTTCCGGGCCGCACTCTTCACGTTCCGTGTGGCTACCTTCTCAATAGCAGAATCCATGTAGATGGACTACTCACCACTACGACTAAGTCATCACATATCAAATAGACAATTGTTGCATACACGGCCCCATCTGCCTCCGATAATAGACTTTGTAGCCCTTGTTTGCAACACGAGGAACAAGCGTCTTTGGGTGCTGGCCAAGGCCCACGATATCGCACGCAATTCAGAAGTCAGCAAGATCATTTTGTATCATGTTTCCACCACGACTAGCTCCCAATCCTCATATTGCATGCAAGACTCGCAAGCACAAAACGCAGGCAATGAGGCAAGAGGCAACCGGGGTGCATCAAGCCACTTTGACGCCTCAACAGCATGTCAAGATAGATTGGGCGAACCTGTTGCCGCAAGGCCCGACCTGCGCTGCGTTGTCTTGCCTCGCACCCAAGTCTCCACAGCCGAGCTCATCAAAGACTCTACCGATAGCCCTACGTATCAGGCTTTATTGTGTGCAAGACTGCCTGCCGTCATATACTGCATGGTAGCATATCAAGGTTGCGAGTGCAGCTATATAGCATCTTTCTCTATGGCCTTATAAGCCGTCCCTTATCTCTGTCGTATTGTCACAGTATCCCTGCCAGCAACGTGGCTTTCATGCCTTCTTTATTAGACACGGAGTTTCACAGCTCCTCGGTATTGTTTGTCCCAAAAACGCCATCACGGCCGAAGCATCAAACATCGACCGCCTGCCCTTTCCCCCCCGAACAAAGATGTCCCCTCTCAAGCCCCTGCAATTCAGACATGGGGGCCGGCCGACACTAGTCCGGACAAGTCTCCAGGCTCGTCCGAGGTAGCTTGGTAGCGTGGCAGGGGCATGGTCCTTTTGTCCAAACTACCCACTTGATGCTCCTAAATCCACTCTATTAAGCTGAAGAAGCCCGAGAATCACATCTGCCGCCCACAATGTCCACGCCCAGCTCATAATTCGTGCTCTTGTCTTTTTATTCACCTCTTTGCCCTCTGGCCTCAGCCCCCAAGCCGGCCCAAGACCTGTCAAGGTGGGGGGAGCGGCCTGTCTGACAGCGATTTCCTTCTGACAGCGGTTCCGACGCTGCTCTGTCGCTCGGGAGACCCATGGAGGATTTTGCCCCAGATTTCCATCTGAGAGATGTGTGCAGGCAGACTTGCGGTGACCTGCACGCCAATCCGGCTTCGGATTTGATCATATCGGAATTGCTCGTCGCTGCAGGCCGACGAATAGCATGCTCAAAGACCAGTCCTAATGTGCTTAGCCCGTATGGCGCTCTAGGGCCTTGCCGTGAGCCGCAGCATTAGCTTCGCATTACTCTTTGCCATGTACCTGCACACATGTCCGTGATTGCAAGCACCGTCGCAAACGCCCCCCGCAGGCACTTCTGAGTAATATCTGAGCACCATTAACTCTTTGCCTGTTTATCCCATCTTCAAGCTTTGGGCAATTGTCGCTGGCCACGTTAGGGCACCCTCTGCACCCTGCGGTCCCATAACCACTATGCAGCCGTCTCCGATGGCGTCATGAAGCGTATTCTTGCACGGGATGATTTGTCGGGCAAGACGCCGACAGTGACTCTATTCTACTTATACGCAGTGCTCAAGGAGCTTTAGCATGACATGTTGGGCGACTTCCGTCACCGAGGTTATCGCCAGCTGCGCCTTATTGCCGCGGCCCTCGATGCCCCGGGATGCCAGTAGTGGCGCACAGTATCCCGCATGGTGTCGTATCTGGCAGATTAAAAACATGATACGTCTTGTCCGAACTCGTTCGATGCAACGAGCCCAGATGACTTGTCGCGTCTACCTCACCTCTACACTCAGTGGGTCTCGGCAGCTAAATTTGCTGTAGCATCACTCTCGAACCGCCTCGCGTCGCAGGGCTTGAGCTCGATTTATTTATCCATAGGCCCGTTATAAGCAAAGATCGACTTTGCCTAATCAACCGGCATAATTTTCAAGGAGCTCTCCGTCCTTCATCCGCACATGGTTCTCGAGCAAGCTAATTGGCACTCCATCATTACATGCCTCCGTCTCCCCCCTTGTTCAGTCCTGTAGGCTGTGCCAGGTTGAGCGCCGATCACTGAAAACGCCACCATTAACCCAATACCGATAGGCGCCGCTTTTCCTGCTGGTCTAAAATATCCATAGTTGCAAAGGAACTTTCGTTTCAACTTCTGCCTCCCCGTCCAAACACGGAGAGCCGGCGTGGCTTGGTCGAAATGCCCCCTGTCACAAGGCGTGGCACAAGGATGGCGATGGGCACACCCTCTGTTGTTGGTGATTGGCAGGGTCCAGCAT